TAACAAGACCCTGTGAGCATAACAGTGCCTTTTATTATTAGAGCACCGGAATTAGTAACGAAAAGCCGTACAAAAAGAGTGACAGAAATGGAAACCAATCAAACAAGTCGTAGAGTGGTGAGGAGACATGTTGTCACTTGATCTCAAGTGAAAAGCCATAGTTACACGCTTGGGTGATCATGTCTCTTGATTGACTAGGTGGAGGATTTTCCCGCGGTAACTTGCCGTTCGGGTAAATTTGTAGATTAAGCCCCGGAAACCAATTGTAATAAAAATGTCCATTCTGGTGTGAAGTTGCCTGATTAATTCCAAAATAACAATAAAAGATTACGGAAGAAAACCGTTTAGGAGTTATCGAAAATATAATTTCGGCCTTATTCGCATCTAGCCAGACTACCATTACTACGTTTGCCTCGAGGAATAATGCGCGGAACCTTACTTAGTTAACGGCCGTTTTACTGATCTTCTTATCTTCTTACTCGTCTTGATTACTGCGCGCATTTAAAGTTCGCGCATTGCGCAGTAATTAAATCAAGTGAAGCTTCCGTGCATGATTACTCGAGGCAAACGTATGTGAACAAAGCTAGTAATGAAACCCGGGCTGTAACCGCGACGCAAATGAAGCCGAACTTATATTGTTGATAACTCCTAAACGGTTTTCTTCCGCAAACATTTAGTGTTATTTTCTAAATAAGCATGCAAATTTACACCAACATGGAAATTTTCATTACAAATAGTTTCTGGTGCTTAATCTGCAAATTTACCGCCGTTTCTTTCTGCTGTAGACAGGTATCCAATAAAGGCTATACGAACCAGTATGTACTGCTATTCAATCCATAGGTGTAGAAACAAATGGATTCATACCTTCCCAATGATATTTGCGATGTAATGTAACGAACCTGGATGGAATTTGAACTCCGCTCTGCGATTTATCATTCTGAGCCATTGTCCATTTCACTACAACACGCATTGCTTGGCTACGTATACCGCTCTTGAATGTAGCTGATTCCATCTGCCGTAATCTATCTTTACAAGTGTCAGATCAGCTAAAGCAAATTATGTATTTCTGTCATATTTCGCCTGAAGTTGCTCAATCCCCACTCGATAAATTCCAACAGCGTTTCTCTAGACTTGAAGACGATGTATTATTTCCCATCCTACAACTCAATTCCAGCAGTCAACATTACAAGCCTATCACTATTCTATTGTTATTTGCATGGAAAATGTTCTGACAAGCTGTATTCCTTAAATCCACTAGTTCAGACCTTTCCAGCTAAGATAACTACTGCAAGACATCTCAGCTTATTTGGCAAATATAATCTGCTGATGTATAGTGTTTCACTTAATAAAAACCTCTGCATTACAAGTGATGCTCACAGCGTAGTGTAAATAACTCATGATTTGTACGTTTTTTATAAGCTGTGTTGCCTTGCAATCGCTATAAATCGGAAAACAAGCATGAACATTTGGATAGTACGCACGAAAATGCCCTGGACAGGTAAAGGATTCCGCTTTAAGGTCAACCATTATCTGTCCTACATATTCCTATAATCTACTATTATTACGTCCATAAAACAATAACATTCAATAATCAAGATATCTTCATTAGGCATGTACTTCACTAATAAATAATGCTGACAATTCTTTATCGCAGAAATTGTTTCTTTTTGTTCGAAAGAGGAACAAAAGCTTCACCTTGAAATGGAAGCGCTACAATTTGAAGTGCCATGATGCCTTGATTAAAAGAAAGATGGCAACAAGAGTAATGAAAAAAAAAAAAGACAAAAGTGAAAGAATGGAAAGGGATGATAAAAATGAAAGGAAGGCGAAAAGAATTTTAAACCTAATAAAATCAATTAAAAGAACGTGAAATGGAAAAAGGAAAAAGATTGTAATTAGCAGATGAAGATAAAAAGAAAACAAACCAGAGATGGTAAGAAGTGCAGATGGGGAGAGAGGAAAAAGTGAAAGGAAAATAGAGAGAGAGAGAGAGAGAGAGTGAGTGAGTGTGTGAGAGAAAGGAAAAATTGGTTAGAGGTAATAAAAAAGTAGAGATGAAGAAATAAATGTACAGAGAATGAGAGAGATAGAGATAGAGATAGAGAGTAAAATATAGAAATGGAAGAGATAGATAGATAGATAGATAGATAGATAGATAGATAGATAGATAGATAGATAGATGAAGAGAAGGAAAAGAGTAGAATTTGATAGATAAAAGTGAGAATAGAGGCAAGAAAACGAAAGGGAAGGAAAGAGAGAAAGAAAGAGAGAGAATGGGAGCAGTGGTTAGAATGAAAAAGTCGAGATGAAGAAATAGACGCACAGAGAGGGGGAAAGGGGAAGAGAGAGAGGGGGGTAGATAGAGAGAAAGTAGAAATGAAGGAATGATAGATGAAGAGAAGGGAAAAATAGAGTTTAGTAGATAGATAGATAGATAGATAGATAGATAGATAGATAGATAGATAGATATTTGGATGTGGATGAAAACAGTGATGGAGAGTTAGGCAGTGAGAAAAAGAGAGAGATAGGGAGACGCGTACGTTACGGCGGTGCTAAATCTGTGACTCGTGGATGTAGGTCAGTATGCTCCCAGCGGTCACACTGTGGCATAGATATTTTCAATATGGCGACTATATTTTTTTGCATGTGAATGTGTGTGGAAGGGAGGTAGCAGTGTCCGGTCTGAGAAACTGGATAGATGTGGGGTGAGTGTTTTTATATCGCAGTGGTTTAGGGAAGATGGAGTCTGATTGTAGACGAGGTGATGGTGTAGATAGGAGGACAATTTTTCACACACACACACACACACACACACACACACACACACACACACACACACACACACACACACACACGCACACATCTATCACGTGTATGTACAGATATGCATACGAAGGCACGGATGCATAATTGTGTACATCAGATGAATACCTCGACATACGCATTTTGGTATATAAACACACAAGCTAAAAAGCAAATACGCACGAATAAGCATAGAAGCAAATATACACGGATATAGACACAAACATACACAAATAGTAAATAGTAACAATGACATGCACACACACACACACGCACTGAAAAAAACATATGGATACAAACGAGTTTAGTGCAGACATGCGTTAGTTCAAGTTTGAATACGCACAAAATTCAAAAAGGTGTCTGTAATTTAATCGATACTGACCTGGCATCGCGACTTTAGACATTTTCTCACCGACGTGACCTGGCTTCACTCTGTCTTTTCTACAACTATTTCCATGGCGACTGCTCCGATAAGCTTCTAAACACCCCCCTCACGACTGCATCAATTTCAGTTTGCTAGTAGATTGGTAACTAGGTCTCGCAGTTTGGGTACCTCGGCGTGGTGTAATGGTTAGCAAGCTTGTCTCGCCAAATCAGTTACGACTGAAAAATGAGTTCGATCTTCAATAGGTGCCCCATTCAAAACTGCGCTTTGAAAATTATTTGGGCATTTCGACGTGTCGAAATAGTTAGCAAGCTTGTCTCGTTAGATCAATTACGACTGAATAGTGAGTGCGATCCTCACTGGGTGCCCCGTACATTTCGACTTTGGGCCACATCTAAGCTACGCTTAAAAGATTACCAAGGTATACGCGCTCGGGATCCCCACATTAAACAGACGTTGTGTCACTACTTGACTTCGTGGTGGGTTGAGTAAAAACAAACTAGGTCTCGCAGTTTCACTAATGAAATAGCTAGATGCAACCATATGTTGTATTCTAATAGTTTCTTTTCTCGTACTTCTCGCCTGTGGAACTCTCTTCCGATTTCTCGCTTTAATTTTTCTTCCTCCTAAATCATTTTTTTTTTTTTTTACCCAGTTCGTCCTATTGGCATTAACGCCTTATATGGACCCTTTTTTATGAATATTTTCATTTTAAAAGTCACACCAAAAAAAAGGGGGGGGGGCAAATAACTTTACATGCATATACATGTATGCGCATATATGTATCATCATGTGTATGTTGACATTAAGTAAATACACGTGTGTGAGTGTGTGTGAGAGAGAGTGTGTGTAAGAGAGAGAGAGAGAGAGAGAGAGAGAGAGGGGCAGTAAGTGAAAAAATGTATCTGATGGAGGCAGCTCAAATGCATCGCTGTTTTGAGTGAAAGGCATTCCAATTCTGATCATTGAAAAGTTTAAATATTGAAAGTCGACACAAAATGTTTTCAATCAAACGGAAAAAACAAATGAGAAAAAAATATACATATCCGAGCGGTAAATCAGTAATAAAAAATAACTTTACTTTGATCAAAAAGTATTGGGACTGTTGCTATGGTGACGGAACTAAAGTACGCAGCGTGAAGTCGCTTGGCACATATTGACCTTGAACGCTGTCTCGCATGCACACTAAGTTATAATGTTCTCGCTCGCTTCCGTTGTTTATAGCAGTCCTTGGAAGGAAAGTGTGTAGAGTGTGGTCGTCTCAGCATACCATCAGTGACCATGGCTGGTGAAACAGTTTTCGGCCAAGGTCCGTCAACAATCATATTCCCCAGATTACGTCTTTGCAACTTTTTCTCTTCTTCAGAAATCAAATCGCACTTGAAAGGAACAAGATTTGTAGACGCCGCGGCAAGACAAGAGAATGCGACGGGGCAGCTGCTCGCTAAGGAGTTCCAGAAATACTTCCATCAATGGTAACGACGCTGAATAAAATGTGTGATTTCAGAAGGGGACGACTTCGAAGGTGATTAAATGCCGAATAGATCGGGATTGTAATTTTCTTTTTATAGCACAAGTCCCGATACTTTTCGATCAGCAGTCGTATATAACGGCATAGCGACGGAGTAAGAGAATGAAAACCGTAGGAAGAGGGAAGGACATCAGTCAGTTATGTGCCATACGTGATACACGCTGAGGTGATTATGGCTGACGAGGCCGATTTTTTCCCGCAGTAGGTTGCCATTTCTTTCTGCGGTAGACCAGTTGTCATCCAAGACCATAGAACCTGGTCTGTCCTGCTATTTACCCATAGCTAGTGGGAGAAGAAGTAGATTCATACCCTTCTCAAGGGTATTAGCACGTAAGTAAATGTAATGGATTCGACTGGAATTCGAACTCGGCTCTCCGATTCCTCAATCCATTACTCCACCGTGCCTCGTGAAAGATGCCGCAAGCTGATAAAAATGGGAAAATAAAACTTTTCACAGAAAATTAAAACGGCAGATAGGAATTATCACAGACGAAGTGTGATGGACATTATTTCGTAACCTGAATATGTAACCTGAAAAGAGAAACAGAATCTTTTATTATTGCAGCCCAGAAGATGAAATATCAATTGTCATAATATGAAAGTGAAAATAAATAAAAATCTGAAAAAATTTAGCCTCTGTAAAAAAACAAAAAACAAAAACAAAATAAAAAAGACAAAATGAAATGGTAAGACCTGCCTCAAAGGATTGCATCAAACTGGTTGAGAAGGAATATCAAAATATATAGACACGGCCGACTGGGAACATTATTAAACTGGGAAATTTTCAAATACGTTGGGTTCGTTTATTTAAACAAATGCTGTCCGCATAAGTCAGAGACAGTCCTAGAAAATAAAAAAAAGTAAAACAAAAGATGATTCGACTAACCTTTAGTTTTTTTTTTTTAACTAATAAACCATGACGATCTTTACATAAGACCATGTCATAATGCAACTCATGAACTGGAGTCCTATCTCAAATCTCGTCATTCTACTGGCGCTGAAGATTCTTAGTTTCGATTTGTGTTTGTAGATGTTTGCTGCTGCAGTTGCTTTAAGAAATTTTTGTCCTATAAATCTGGAATACATTTAACTTATTTAATTGAAGTATGCGATTTATATTTTATTTCATTCGAACCTGCTATGTTTTCGTTACAAAAAACAAACATTTTTGTGCGAAATTCACTGGAGAATGTAATTTAGAAAATGTGGCCTTGTTACATTAATTATATCACCTCGTGCAAGGCAGTAAAGCCACTAAGACACAAGAGGTTATCGAGTTTGAAAGAATAGGAAAAAGAAACGTTATTAAGGAGAGAGAACAATAAAAGAAGAGGAATCAAGAAGGTAGTAGCTAATGACTGAAATTGTATTTAAATTTTTGAAGATCAAAGTAGGCTGGAAAACATGGACCCTTAAGAGAGTTCCACAAGTGAGAAAAGAAACTTTTATCATAAAAGTTACGGTTAAATCTATCCAGTTCAATAGTGAGTTGATGGGACCTAGCCGACAATCTAGTACTGCGCTTAAATTCATAAAGTTTAAGTACCATAGCGAAGAGTTCATCCGAACAATTATTATAAGAGTATTCATAGAAAAGGCAGAGAGACTACATTACAGCGGCGAGAATGTGCTTGAAACCTAGACGTCAGGTCAAGACATAATTATGTTTCTGATTCTTTTTTGGGTTTTATCAAGAATCCGATACTGCAGGAGAACAGGACTATATGTAGTAGCAATATTTAAGGCATTGATGAATGGTAGATATATGTAAGATAGATTCAAGAGAGAAAAATTATCTAGCACGACACGGTGAAGAAACTTTCTTAGTAGCAGAGCCAACAATGGATTCAATAAAATCTTACCAATTCATGTCGAGAATGTAAGACCGAAAAGGCGCAACGAGTCATTTTCCTGGAGGTTAGTATCACTCATGGTGGTGGTGGGAGCAGGAAGAGGCATTTCAGATGATTGAATTTTCCCTTAAAGTTAATATTCTTCTCTATCAAATTGTTATTCATAGAAGTAAATTCACTAAAGATCAACTTTTTAACATTTCTTTCGAATACTTTTATCATTAATTCTGTTTTTACACTTCGAAATTTATTTAAAAATGTCATTATTTTTTAATGTTTAATTTTTAACAGACATTTCTTTCGAAAACTTTTTTCGTCGATGCTGTTTTTACATTTCGAAATTTATTTAAAAATGTCATTATTTGTTGTATGTTTAATTTTTAACAGACATTTCTTTCGAAAACTTGTTTCGTCGATTCTGTTTTTAAACTTCGAGATATATTTAAAAATGTCATTATTGTTTTATGCTTAATTTTTAACAGACATTTCTTGCGAAAACTTTTTTCGTCGATTCTGTTTTTACACTTCGAGATATATTTAAAAATGTCATTAATTTTTAATGTTTAATTTTTAACAGATATTTCTTTCGAAAACTTATTTGTCGATTCTGTTTTGTGTAAAAAACACTTCGAAATTTATTTAAAAATATTATTATTTTTTTAATGTTTAATTTTTAACAGACATTTTTTTCGAAAACTTTTTTAGTCGATTCTGTTTTTACACTTCGAAATTTATTTAAAAATGTCATTATTTGCTTTATGTTTAATTTTAACAGTCACTTCTTTCGAAAACTTTTTTTCGTCGATTCTGTTTTTTACACTTCGAAATTTATTAAAAAATGTCATTATTTGTTTTATGTTTAATTTTTAACAGACATTTTTTTCGAAAACTTTTTTCGTGGATTCTGTTTTTACACTTCGAAATTTATTAAAAAAATGTCATTATTTGTTTTATGTTTAATTTTTAACAGACATTTCTTTCGAAAACTTTTTTCGTGGATTCTGTTTTTACACTTCGATATTTATTTAAAAATGTCATTATTTGTTTTATGTTTAATTTTTAACAGACATTCCTTTCGAAAACTTTTTTCGTCGAATCTGTTTTTTACACTTCGAAATCTATTTAAAAATATCATTGTTTTATGCTTAATTTTTAACAGACATTTTTTTCGAAAACTTTTTTCGTCGATTCTCTTTTTTACACTTCGAAATTTATTAAGAAATGTCATTATTTGTTGTATGTTTAATTTTTAACAGACATTTCTTTCGAAAACTTTTTTTCGTCGATTCTGTTTTTTACACTTCGAAATCTATTTAAAAATATCATTGTTTTATGCTTAATTTTTAACAGACATTTCTTTCGAAAACTTTTCTCGTCGATTCTGTTTTACACAGCGAAATTGAATGGAAAAGGCTATTATTTGTTAGAAAAAAAATTAATATTTTTCTCTATTATATTGTTACACATAACAAGAATATATTGATGATTTATTTAGAAAGCATCTAATGAATATTTTACTTTACCGTTAGAAAACAAAATAATAGCAAACATGATATTGTACATTACAAAATTAGTGAATAGTCATTTATTCGGAATGTTGTTATGTATAGTTAGCGTCATAATTAAATTAAGTAGATTTAATTTGATATATTTTAGATATTGCAAATAAGGTGTACAAAACGTTAATCCTATCCCTGCTGCTAAACCACGCCTTATGAGTCATTTTCAAAGTACTATAAGCATAAAAAGTATATTTATGACAAAATACGTCAGCACAACAACAGGCACTTTATTTCTAAACAAAAAAAAAGAAAGAAAAAAAATTATTCAAGTTTACTTAGTTCCAGTTCATATTTTTTGTTCCAGAATTCATAGTTGAGATATAGTTTTTCTTTCCTTAAAATTGTTTAAATGTGGATAATCTATTCAAAAATTAAAATGCGTGTATCATTTCTAACATGTTTTTTTTTAACGTGGTGGGAAGGGATGGATCCGAAGCTCTGCCAATTATATATTAATTTTAATAAGACCTTAGTAAAGAAAAATATACCAAAATAAGGAGAATTAATACAACAGAGAACTGCTGCAAACCTTTTCGGAAACTAAATATCAACGCTCTCAGTGAAACGAAGAGATTTGGCATAGTCCTCCAGTTCTGTCTGAAGTATGCGTGATGACATGGACTTAAATAAATGTCGCCATGAAATAGATACAACGATATATTAATACACAAGGCATATAGAATGTAATCTCTTAAAGGGCATACTTCACAAGTTACTCTCGATTTAAGGCACCATCTTGCCGTGTTATTTCTTTCTTTACCTAAATTATTTACAGTCTTTAAGTGTCTATAAATCCAGGTAAACTTTTTTTTTACAGTGAGGCTCATCCTTTACAAGGCCCGGGCCACTCGAGGTAGAGGGTTACGTTAGGAAGACATTTGTGTATATAGAAGTGGAAGATAACGGTTAACCCTAGCTTTGAACAGGTTAAGATTGTAGTGATCGGGGAAACATCCTGTTGGGAGTCAGTTCAACAGGCCAGTGGTTCGCATGAAGGAGCTGTTA